CTTCGTAGAGAGCAATTCTAAGAAGAGCGAAGAGAGCGTTTTTCTATTTGTTATTGCTATACCCTTGCGCCAGCGATTCCCAGACTGAGACCGAAGAAGAGCATCGTTGAGAATTCCACGAAGAATGAAGAAAGCGTGGTTTTTCTTTTATTGGTGTATATGTTCTTAGAGATTGACATAAATTGTAAATAATTGAAATTACAAGGTTAAGTTTTTAATTGTATTCCAGCGTTCTTTTATCCCCCTTGCCTCCCCTTTGCCTACGTCCCCAAATTGAGTCCAAAAAAGGATTTGCAAAACTTGAAAACGCGATAACTTTCGGTAGAGTAGTCCGTTTTGGACGAATTTTTTTTTCATCTCTTTCATTTTGCGAGGGTGATGGCGTGGCCGGGTCGCTAAGCGGCCCGGTCTTTTCTTTTTGGTCAATCGAGCTTTTGTTTGTTTTATTTTGAAGATTGCATACTTTAAACAGAGATTTCATGCTCTAACTTTTGATGAATTTGTGATTTGAATACATGAATATGCTTGTGTTAATCTCTAGTTTCATGTCATATAATCAGATTTTAAAACACACAAGTTTTTGTGAGACGAGATGAAAAGGTTTCAAAGTTAGTTTCGGTGACATTGTACAATATAATGTGTAGCTTGATGGCTATTTTTACTTTGTTTTAGAATAAGCAACCCGAGTTCAATTCCTCCTTTTGTGTACAATATTAATATATGCCTGAATAAGCAAATAGTGTTTTATATATTACTACAACTCGGCACTGTTTATGGAAAGTGTACATATTTTTCCTTATATTAACCGAGTTCATTCCTCTTTTGAAATGGTGTTCCAATGTCTAACGCTCATTAATTCTATGAGGGATATCTATATGTATTCATGCTGATGTGGTTTGGTTTGGTGTTTCAATTCCTCTCTAATGGTTATTGTAATGTGTTTACAGTAAGCACAAGTAACATATTATGCCACATGCTTTTACTTCATACGTTTCGTAACAAATTAAATGAAAATTGTCCAACGTTCATTCATTATATTTAATCTCTATATGTATATTCAACGAGTACTGATCTTCTCGATCAGTTTTCGTTTTTCTCGGACTTCCGCGTACTGATCGGATTTTTTCTCGATCAGTTTTCGTTTTTCTCGGACTTCTGCGTACTGATCGGATTTTTTCTCGATCAGTTTTCGTTTTTCTCGGACTTCCGCGTACTGATCGGATTTTTTCTCGATCAGTTTTCGTTTTTCTCGGACTTTCGCGTACTGATCCGACATATTCTCGACCAGTTTTCGTTTTTCTCGGACTTTCACGTACTGATCGGATTTTTTCTCGATCAGTTTTCGTTTTTCTCGGACTTCCGCGTACTGATCCGACATATTCTCGATCGGTTTTCGTTTTTCTCGAACTTCCGCTTACTGATTGGACATTTTCTCGATCATCGTCGATCAGTTTTCGTTTTTCTCGGACTTTCACGTACTGATCGGACATTTTCTCGATCATCGTCGACCAGTTTTCGTTTTTCGTTTTTCTCGTCCGGATATGTTTTTCTCTCGATCATCGTCGATAAGTTTTTGTTTTCTACCGGTTTCAATTTTTTCGGATTTTCTCATTCGGCTGGGATTTTCCCGATCATTGGAACTCCCGGTTTCGATTTTCTCGATGATCACTGTCAGATTCGATATTTCTCGACTGTTAGCTCCGTACTTTCGATATTTCTCGATCTTGTATTTCCGGTTTCGATAATTCTCGATCTTTAGCTTCCGGATAAGATATTTCTCAACCTTTAGCTTCCGGATGAAATGTTTTTCACATTTCAGCTTCCGGATGAGATTTTTTCCCACCTTTAGCTTCCGGATGAAATTTTCCTCGACCTTTAGCTTCCGGATGAGATATTTCTCTACCTTTAGCTTCCGGATGAAGTTTTTTCAACCTTTGGCTTCCGGATAAAATTTTCCTCGACCTTTAGCTTCCGGTTCCGATACTTCTCGACCTTTAGCTTCCGGATGAATTTTTCCCCACCTTTAGCTTCCGGATGAAATTTTCCTCGACCTTTAGCTTCCGGATGAGATATTTCTCGACGATTAGCTTCCGGATGAAAGTTTTTTCAACCTTTGGCTTCCGGGTA